TCCCCAGCTTCACTGCAAAGCAAACTTCAGAAGGCCACTTTTCATTTCATCTCGGTATGCTGAGGGTGTTCAGGTCAGGTAACGGCCAGGAGCACTAAGTGTTGTGATGAACGTTTTTGGAGAATCCGGACCACAGACCAGTCCTCCACTGGGGATCATTTAACCTCCAAGGGGCATTTTTAAAATCATACTCCTGGTATTAGTGCAGAGTATTGTTCACTTTTCAAAAACATTCCAATATTTCTGATTTTCCATCAAGTGTCTTAGAATAAAAGGAGAGAAAATGCCTTCATTCCTGTGTGAATTCTGAAAAAGGACTGGTAACTCTCACTGAAGTCAAACTCACAAGACGGACTGGCTAGAATGGACTGGCAGTGAGAGAAAAGACACGTTGAAAGTTTCAAAAAGTAAATACTTTTTATCAAGAAAACAACAAAGACAGTTCAACAGACTTTGGAAAACTGTTGTCCCCAATCAATCCCTTTCCTTAATCATATTAATAATTTTTAGCCCCTTTAGCACATTCAGCAAACCTGGGAAAAGAGACGCTCTTCAGAACACAGAGAATGAAAGCGCTGGGAAGAATACACAAAAAAATTTGGGTGCAGTTTAAAAAGAAATAATGATCCTTGTTTGTGTTGAGATACTCCTGGGCTGAGTTCAGGTATAGGACAGTGAGGCCGGGAAATGTAAGCTGTCTGCCAACAGAATTAAAATGCTGTGCAAATATGTGCAGTCTCCACCAGACAGTGTTACACTGCTCTGTAAAATTTCTGGAATCCTTGAAGTTCGACTTCCTTATAAAGTATTCCCTACACACACTACCCCCACAGGGTTTCTCCCCTGTGTGAATACCCCGATGCCATGAGAGCTCCCTCTGGCAGAAAGTGACCCTGCAGCACTGACAGTCACAGGGCTTCTCTCCTCTGTGAGTTCTCTGCTATCCAGGGATATGGAATTTATAGCAAAAAGCTTTACAACATTTTGGATATTCACAACGTAGCTCTCCTTTGAGTTCCCTAGAGAGGACTAAATTGAGGATTCCCTACACTCTAGACACTGCAAAGAAGCTATGAAGTGTGAATTGTCTGATGTACACTAAGGACTTATTTCTGAGATAGAATTCCCACACTCTTGGCATTCATGCAGTCTCTCCCCTGTAAGAATTCTCTGATGGTCAGTGAGGTCCAATTTCAGGAGAAAGTTTTCCTATACTCTGGACATTCAGAGTTTATTATAGTGCAACATCTCGGATGTACAGCGAGGGTTGATTTCCAGGAGAAAGTTTTACCACAGTCGTGTCATTCACAGGATTGCTCTCCAGTGTGCATTCTGTGATGATAAGTGAGGGATGACTTACGGGAGAGAGTTTTGTCGTCTTGACATTCATAGGGTTTCTCCTATGACTTCTCTGAAGGGAAGTGAGGCCTGACTTCCAGGAGAAAGCTTTCCTACACTCTTAACATTCATTGGGTTTCTCTTCAGAATGAATTCCCTGATGTTTACTGACCTGATTATTCTCAGGAGAAAGTTTTCCTACACTCTTGACATTCATAGGATTTCTCTTCAGTGTGTGTCATTTGATGTTTGCAGAGGCCTGACTTGTGGGAAAAAAGCCTTCGTATACTCCTGACATTGCCAGGCTTTCCCCATTGTATGAATTCTCTGATGTACACTAAAAGCTGACTTATGCCAGAAAATTTTCCTACATCCTTCACATTTAGAGCGCTTCATTTCTGTTTGAGATTGCAGATGTAAAGTGAGGGTAGTCCTCCATGAGAAACTTTTCAAACATTCTTTACAGCCAAACGATTTCTCCGCAGTGAGAGTTTTCTGATATCTTCTCTGTAAGGAAATCTGAGAAGTTTCTCCACAGTCATAAGGGTGATCATCTGCTTTATATTCTGATGTTAAGTAAGAACAGAGATATTAAGAGGACATTTCACCGTATCTATTGTATTCAAAAGTATTCTGTCCTCATTAAGGACTCTCCTGCAGAATAGCATGAAATTTGTTGCTGAGATGGGCCCCACTTTCATAGATATGTTCATCTTCAACCTACCTATGCAGATTCACATGTACTGGTTTCACACCAGCAGGGCTCCCCCTTTCATTACACGTATAGGGAATCTGTCCTGTTTGGCTTCTACCTTGGACAACGAAAGGTGGCATCTCACAGGTGCCCTATACTCACTGTGTTTCCAGGCAGTCCCTTCCAGAAGCGCTCCTCTAGGTGTACAGAATATTGTTTCCTTATTCAAGGGTTTTCCCTTGCTCGCAAAATTCAAATGGCTGCTGAAAAGTTTAAATCGCCTATGACAAAGGTGCTCACAATACCTGATGGATTCCCTAGTTATATTACAGACCTTTTTCCTTTCTAGCTTGCACTTCATGAAAGTCATCAGGGGTAAATGTGCCTACATATAGAAAAATTCTCTGAAATGTTTCCTTTCTTGATAGGTTCAAACTCCAAATTCAGGTCCAAATCACTAGTTTTCCCTAAGTCACTTCTCACCTTAGTTTATGTTTTGCTCTTGGCTATTAGAACATGCCACAGATGTCTGTCCTGATTTGAAAGGTTGGCCATGATAAGGCACCGACATCGAATCACAGTACAGACATTGAAAATGAGAGAAAAATGGTCATTTCTATAAATAACAGCTAAACATTCCCTGTGAATGCTGTTGTAAAGGCACAAAAAGTTTCTCTACTACTAGACAATTTAAACAACTGGTATTTTCTGATTCATGCTTTCAATACCTAACAAATTATGTAACATATTACATGAACAGATTTTCTAATGCTAAACCAGGTTAACAAGTAGTAGAACTTATTTCATATTGTTGTGTTCCATTCATAAATATTTGGTAAACATTCATTTAAGTGTAGACGTCACATTCAGACAGAAGCATTAAACTTAGTATTTAACTTCTGTACTTTTTTTCTTACAATGACTCTGTCCAGCTTCTGATGGTATTTTTTGAACACTCAAGCTTTCTAGATGTTATGGTTTTCCTGGAAAACCTACTGACTGCATGTGACACAGGGTCATTTTTCAATCACTTTGAAAAACAATATTGTTACAAACAAGGATTCTGCATCTATACTCCTTGAGATTTAGTATCTCCTTTAGAACAGGCTACAGTCATCTGTGGGTGTTTTCAAGGCCATGAGCTTCCTGAGCTTTGTGTCCATTCTTTTTTTTTTTTTTTCCAAATTTTTAAAAATTTTATTAATATTTATTTGCAGGCCTCCCCTGGTGGCACAGGCGGTTGAGCATCATGCTGTGAAGCAGTCTGGAGACTCTGCAGTGCCAGTTCGATCCCGATTGGCTGGTGAAAGTCCCACACAACGCAGCAGACCTCTCCTGTGTCACCCGCTGCTCCCCTCAGCAGTATATTTCGTCAGTCTGCCTGTTCTGTTCCCTGCTCGGTCTCTGGTGAATCTTCTCACCCGCCCGCGTATCTGGCCTGTATCCCAGTTCTTGTATAAATAAATATTTTTTAAAAATATTTATTTGAGGAAAAATTGTGGTATAGGCCAGAGATGTGGGGGTTGAGGCTTCATCAGAGACAGAGTGGGGAGCAGAACAGGTGGATTTTACTAAATACACTGCTGAAGGGACAGCAAATGAGATAGAGATGGTTGCTGTACCAGTTTAGCTCCCTGCCAGGGGATGGAACTTAGACTGTCGCAGTGTTAACACTGAGATTTAACTCTATGCCACCAGAGAGGTCCTCTGTTAAGTGTTAATTAAATATTATAACACCTTTCTCAAAACCATAATAGACACAGCAAACGCTGCTTCATTATATCACTGGACTTATCAAAAATCAAAAGGTTCCGCAACGCAGCCTGTGTCTATCCTCATTAAGGGCTTTTTTCACACCCTTCTGAGATCAACACTACTGGTATCTTCACTCTACTCCTTGGTACCCGTGTTTCTAACTGATTCATAGCATCTCAAAATTTTATCTAGTACTCTAGTTTTAACTATATCATACTTAAGTTGGAATAATGGGTTCATTATTTTACTTTCTTTCTAATGTTAACCATACGAGAAGGTGTAATTGTACAGATCACACTCTTTTCCCAAGGTAAGCGCACCCAACCCGAATCTCTTGGTTCCAGTTTAGAAACCACATCTCAGGGTCCCACGCCCATGTCACAGAACATCCCTTCTCATACTGAACAATTTGCTGGGTCCTCCTCAGTCTCACAAATCTCATGTGGGTGGGTCATAAGGTTTGAATGTGAAACACTATTCATGTCCTAAATAACTCTCCAGTCAACCTCCTCTTTGTATCAGTTTTGAGTTTTCACCTGGTAAATTACATCATCAATAGCAACACAACCTCTAGCCCAGACTGTACATGAAACTATATACACAGCATGTCAGTGCAAAGCACTCATCTCAAACCTGAGCTCCGCAAGGAAAAGACTTCATCTCCATAACGATGCTTTTTGAGCACCTTCTAAAATAACATCCTCTGCTCTTTCTCTTTTGTCCTGGTCATTCTCCATGGCTTTACTTCTCTACTTAATGTATACATTTATTACATTTTCCTGTCTCACAGAATATAACCTCAATAAAGCAAAGACCATTTCTGAGATTACAGTTGGTATCCCCACTTACAGAAAATATACCACTGGCTATAACTTCCAAGGAACACACTGAAAGAATACACAAATGCCTGAACAAAGACCTAAAAGAAAACAGTCTGTGAAAATAAATGCATGGAGAGACACAAAAAATGTGAGTATTGCAGAATAATTTCCTGCAGTAGCAGGGATTGTAAAACTGTTAAGTCTAAGAATTAGAATAACCATTAAAAGAGTAAGAGGAAATCTACAAGAAAGCAGCATTTGGAAACTGAATTATGAATCACTCTGATACACACAAACTGTCCAAGGTTTGACACTGGAAAAGTGGCTCAGTGTGGCCAGTATCTGCTGCTGTCTCCTCCTCCCAGCCTCCCTGCAAGCATACACTGACTGACCTGAGAGATTCTGGTTTGGCAGTTCTCCCACAGTCCATGGCTGTGCTCTCTGCTCCAACCTGATGCTCAGCTCAGGATCGTTAACACAATGCCCTGTGATGACAAACGGTATTGATCTTTGATCAAGTTACACTTAAGTCTTTGAAAACGAACAAAAGCAGTGTGAAGAGCTGTGCAATGAAGGCCAATTTGATCCTTTCATTAAAAGGGTAAACACGCAATCTACTCAGCCTGAAATGTTCAGCTTCACCAGCACTAAATCCCATAAGCAAGGACATACTTGTCAGCATAGGAAACAGTGCTTGCACTCGAGCATTACATGCGGGCTTCCTCACCTAGTGATATCAGGTGACTATAGGTCTCCAGCATCACATCCAGGTATAGGGTCCTTTGTGCATCATTCAGGTCCCACCACTCCTCCCAGGTGAAGTTCACAGCCACATCCTCAAATGACACCATCCCCTCTGAGGGAACGTTCCTCCTCACTTCAGGATCCTCAGCCTGGGACAGAGAGCAGCAAGTGTAAACATACCATCTTTTCTAGTGTTTGATTTGCCCAGAATGCACCACCTTTAAATCCTACAGTGTGATGTAAACAGAATTCTCAGTAGAAATACCCTTACCATGGGCCTCCCTGGTGGCACAGGCAGTTGAGTGCAGTGCTGTGAAGCTGTCCACAGCCTCTGCAGTGCCGGTTCAATCCCCGCCGGCTGTGAAGATAACCACATGTCAGGGCAAACCTCTCCTGTTTCGCCTGCTGCTCCCCTAACACTATATTTCAGTCAGTCTGCCTGTTCTGTTCTCCACTCTGTCTCTGGTGAATCCTCTCACCCCCCGCATATCCAGCCTGTACCCCACCTTTGTATGCATAAATAAATCAATCTTTAAAAAATTAAAAAACAAAACAATACGGTAATGGAAGAAAAATAGAAACTCAGTCAAATGGAAGATAACTGAAAACCCAGAGACCAAATCATATAAATACGAACAGTTCATCTCTGACAAGGCAGCTATGGCATACAATGGAGAAAAGACAGCCTCGTTAATAAACGGTGCTGGGGGAAATGGACAGTTGCTTGCAAACATATGAATCAAGAACCATACTAAACTGCATACTCAAATAATTCCTAATGGATTAATGATTTGGATATAAGAACCAAAACCATGAAATACTTGAAAGAAAATACAGAGGACACCCTACAGGACAGCTGCCTCAAAATCTATCAGGTAAACAAACCCAACATCAGGGGAAACAAAAGCAAATTTAATCAAGTGGGACTACTTTGAACTTAAAAGCTTTCTTCCCTCAAAAAACCCCACAAGAACAAATAGGGAACCTATAAGATGGGATAAAAAGGAAACCTACAACATGGGAGATAATATTTGCATACTACACACCAGACTAGAGGTTACTCTTCAAAATTTACAAAACAGTTACAAAATCCAACAGCAATCCATTCAACCAATTTGGTAAAAGGGGGGGGAGGGGCAAGGGAACTAAATGAACCCTAAATAAACTAAATAAAGAAGGAATGCTCACCATCACTTATTGTAAGAAAATTGCAAATTAAAACCTCACCCCTGGGAGAATGGTCCAAATAAAAAAGAATGGAACTAACAACACTAAAAGGATGCAGTGATAAAGGAGCTCTCCCCCAGGGCTGGTGGCAAGGCACATTGGTGCAAGTCCCTTTGAAAAATGGTGTAGACATTTCTTAAGGAAATAAAAGTGCTTATTCAAATATGAAAAGATTTATCTACACCTAGGAGCAGAGCAGCACTGTTCCCAACCAGCACAGTTCCCAACTGCCCAGTCACTCACGGGGTAACCTAAGTCCCTTCAGCAGAGGCAGGGGCAGGAGGGGCTGAGCACACATGCAATGGAGCACTGCAGTGCTGTGAGGAAAGAGCAAAGGCTGGCAATGAGGACAAAATGGGAGGACCAGGAAGTGATTATGTAGAGTGAAATAAGTCAAAAAGTAAAAACAAGTATCAGATGGCTTCACGCATCTGTGGAATATAAATACACAAAAAAATATTTACAGGCAAAAATACACTAGGAATAAAATTTGAACAAGGCAAAAAGAAGATAAATGTTACCAGAGTGGCCAGGGTTTTTGGGAAGAGGGGGGGAAAAAGGGTTCAGCAAAACCCTTCAGGAATGCAGTAGAAAATTGACAACAGGGCCCCCCTGGTGGTGCAGTGGTTGAGCGCTGGGCTGCAAAGCTGCCCGCAACCTCTGCAGTGCTGGTTCGATCCCCGGCCACCGGGTGAGGGTCCCACATGGCGCGCAGACCTCTCCTGCTGCCCGCTGCTCCCCTCAGCAGTGTATTTCGTCACTCTGCCTGTTCTGCTCCCCGCTCTGGCTCTGGTGAATTCTCTCACCCTCCCGTGCTTCTGACTGTACCCAGTGCTTGTATAAATGAACAATAAAAATAAAATCTTAAAAAACAAGAAAAAAAAGAAAATTGAGAATAATTTCAGCAGAAGGCTTTTAGTGCTACAAATGTCAAAGACAGATTAAGCACCAAAATAAGTAAAGGAAGTAAAGAAACAAAAACACAAGTATATAGAAATTTTAAACAACGAAAAAAGAAATTTCCAAAAGGTCATACATACACAGTATTTTCAAATACTGCAGAAAATGTGCATAAGGCAAAGGCTAGAGAAGTGAAACTGAACTTGAGCACAACTTAGGTGACCGCCGGCTACACTAGAAATGCATTCAGACCACAGCAAGTTGAAATATGAAGGAGCAGTGGACACAACTGCCAGGATAATAACTCTGAAGAGCTTGGTGGGCAACCTAGGTGGGTACACAGACACCTGAGGGCATGACGGGGATCAGCCTCCAACAGTCCTCTGGGACACATTGATTGTTTCAGCAACTGCAGTGAACCCTTATTAATTTGTGCTTTTTAACTGCCAGCTGGCTCCCTTAACCCCCACAACTGCACTCAGCTTCTCATCCACCTTTCCTCTCCCTCCCGCTTCACCCCCACACCTAACCAGTGGAGAACAAGGTAAGTGTGTATTTCCAGAGAGGTGAAGAACCACTGTCTACATCATCACCCACAGGGCAAATGGAGACCCAGTTTCAGACTTTGCTCTGCAAGTGCTCAGTCCCACCAGCATAGGGCACACTGTCCCCCAGGGGTCCATTGTCACCAGGGAAAAGGAGTGTGTGACTTCCTGACACGGCAGAGCTCAATTTCCACACGTTAGATATATGATTAGCCTGTATCAACATGACACCTCTGTCCTGTTGATGTATGGTTTCACAAAGACACCTTTACAAGTTTCTACTTCTGCACTTTTAAATTATAAAGTCTCACAAAATGCAAAAAGTTAGTGTACAACCAATTAAAGCTATATAACTCACCAGAAATTCATTCATTGTCTGCAGCTCTCACAAACAGGTAAGCACTCTGGATGCAGAACTGGGAGAGGTGAATGGGTCCAGTACCCAGTGACTGAGGTAGCTGGCACCTGGGTCCTAGGGTTTCCTGTCCACAGCGCTGCACACACGGCCTGGGAAAGACCCGAGTCACTTCTGTGTGACAGCTGTGTTTACACTCTGCCATGGCATTTAAGTCCTTCCTCTCCCCCCCTCCCCTCCCTCCTCCATCCTACCTCCCTGAATGAGTCAAAATGCAATAGATTATCCCACAAAATTCAAAGTTCAGAAACTTAAAAAAAAAAAATTTTCAAACTTGCTTAATAACATACAAAATCTTGGCCACAATTTCATTAGGAAAGAGGTGCCTAATGTACTTTTTTGGTAGGATAGTCTCAGAAATGGTTCCAAAAGCTCTGCTTGCCTCCATTTCCTCCTATACCCAACCTCTCAATGAAGTGGGTTCATCCACTGCTTGTTTGCCCAAAGGGAACCAGTGCATATGAAGCACAGGATGAACAGATGTATCCATGGGTCTCGCCTTCTGGGAACAACATCATCTTGGAAAGACACCGGGGGTCAGCCTGTCCGGGGCACATGGCTGAGCAGACCTGCCAGAAATCCACCAAATAAGAAGTGAAATTGTAACTTACCCAGCCACCCTAGTCTCGGTGGATAAACACAGCCTCCTGGGTCATCCTGACAACACCAGCAAAGGGCCTGGAGGGGAAATCAGCACAAAATACAGAACCACCCGACGTCCAGTAATAAAACGGCTGGCGTGTTTCCCTCAGTGCACTCAAGTGGACGTTTACACAGAAAACGCCAAGTGACTGGGTCTCCCCGGTGGCGCAGCAGTCGCCGCTGGGCTGCGAAGCTGCCTGCAGCCTCTGCAGTGCCAATTCGAGCCCCGGCCCCCGGCGAGAGTCCCACGTGGCGCGCAGACCTCTCCTGTTTCACCAGCTGCTCCCCTCAGCAGTGTCCTCCATCTGTCTGCCTGCTCTGCTCCCCGCTCTGATCATTTCTCTCACCCTCCCGCGCTTCTGACTGTACCCAGTGCTTGTATAAATAAATCTTTTTAAAAAAAAAAGGAGAAAAGAAAACGCCAAGTGACTGATCTACGCCACGCCCAGGCCTTCCAGAAGACGCTGACGAGACGAGGAATTCCTAAATTCCTTGACGAAACCACAGCCGGCCGTCAGTCACGCTGAGAACTCCTGAAAATATTCAGGGACATCACCTGGAGGGACTCCCCTGTGTCAAGGGCAGGCCCCATGGCACCCGCCCTCACCCCGATCCCCCCGGCCCGTAACGCCCGCCCTCACCCCAGCCCCGCAGCCCCCCACCCCCACCCCGCGCTCTCTCACAACGGCCAACGGGCTCCCCCCACATCCGCCTCGGGGCCTCCCCGACGCTCCGCGCTCTACCGCGTCCACAGCCCCGGGCTCCCGCGTCCCCACACCTCACTCGGAGCCCCAGATGCGCAGCTCCACTGCACCCCCAAGCTTCAGAGACAAAGTCGCCCCACACGCCCGACGAGCGGACAGGCGGCGGCGGGGCGGCGAGCCGAGGACCCGGAACGGCAGAGGCGGAGGGGCGGGGCCGCGCCTGCGCAGAGCCCGAAAGCGGCGCCCCAGAGCCTTTGGCGCACAGAGCGTGGCCTCCGCAGACTACATTTCCCACAACCCCGTGCGCGGCCTCAGGCGACGTCCGGAGGCGCGTCCTTAGGGTGGGGCCGCTGCCTAGAGACGGGGTAAATGAGGAATTGACGGGAATGGAAAAGTGGGCGAGACCCTGAAAACCAGGGGGCGCAAGGGCTGCTTCAGGGCCGAGATGGAAAGGAGGGACCTCATTGTGTTCCCATATGGAGGGTAAGAGAAAAAGCATCAGGCTTTTCTGCCCTTCCGCCATCAGGATAGATGATGGATCCTTGCGGTCCTGACTGCATGCCTGGAGTAGGGTGTGGGCATATGGAGATGGGATCCACCTGCCCTAAGACTGGGCATAGAAGGGCGGCGTCATGGGGACTCCAGCAGAAGCAGAAAGACTAGAAGCAGCGAGAAAGAGCGAAAGAGAAGCAGAGACCACCACAGAAAGCCGGGAGAGCCCAGAAAGAGCAAAGACTTGCTGGGGGGTGGGAGGCCTGCCAGCCTCCCGGTCCCTCCACCCCCACCTCTCATGTACCTGGTAAATCCCAAGAAAAGCCTGAAAAGCCACTGAGGACTCCTCCTTTACCCCGTCTGCTCGGTCATAGAAATCTTGCTCCATCCCTTCCTACCCTTACACCATATAATTGGGTTCCTCACACTCACCCTCCTCTTGTAGCTCAGGAGCTGCATCCTAGAAAGGTGGAGAAGGGAAGATGCCCTGGGTCCATCGCCATTAATCTCCACGCAAGGCACTTTGGTGTTTGCACTTTGCAGTCCTGGTCGCCAGTAAAAGACCAGGTTTGGTTGTTCCCGGCAGGGGACTGTACCTTAGACCCCATTCTAGGCAAGCACCCACTGTGCTCGCCCAGAGTCTGTTGGAGGCCACCAAGACCGAGACCCTGTCTCCTCAGAATATATTTTTTTTTAAGATTGATTTATTTATTTATACAAGCACTGGGTACAGTCAGAAGCACGGGAAGGTGAGAGAATTCACCAGAGCGGGGAACAGAACAGGCAGACTGATGAAATACACTGCTGAGGGGAGCAGCGGGCGAGGTAGGAGAGGTCTGTCCTGCCATGTGGGACCCTCGCCGGTGGCCGGGGATAGAACCAGCACTGCAGAGGCTGCTGGCAGCTTCACAGCCCAACGCTCAACCGCTGCGCCACCAGGGGAGGCCCTCCTCAGTATATTTCTTAAAAGGCCTAGTGTGAGCTGCTGGCAGGTTCTCCTGATTATTGTGCAATGGAACTGAGGGCGCCAGAATCCTGGCAGGCACCTCCTACAAACAGCCCCGTTTTTAAGAGTAATCGCCCCTAGGGCCTCCCCAGTGGCGCAGCGGTTGAGCACTGGGTTGCGAAGCTGCCCGCAGCCTCTGTGGCGCCGGTTCGATCCCGGCTGCTCCCCGGCCACCAGAGGAGGGTCCCCCATGGCACTCAGACCTCTCCTACTGCCTGCTGCTCCCCTCAGCAGTGTACTTCGGTCCTTCTGCCTGCTCTGCTCCCCGCTCTGGCTCTGGTGAGTTCTCTCACCCTCCCGTGCTTCTGAATGTACCCAGTGCATGTATAAACAAACAAATAAATAAAAAACATGCCTCTATTAAAAAAAAAATAGTAATCGCCTCTAGTTCTAAAAATAAGCAACTTCTGCCCAAGCCAGTAGTATCAAGAAATGCTTCCCTATGCACACACTCTGCCTCCCAAATGCCCACACTGTAAACACACGCACTTCTTTTCCAACCATACTGTCATTCCTGAATAATGTCTCAATGTATTTACGTTTGATTCAGTATATATCAAAACCATGACAATGTGTGTGTTTGTAGGCCATGAAAAGGTCCCTAACTGAAGTATTTCAAAGTTCACTAACTAACACTGTATTACTCAGGTAAACTTAAAACGGTGGGACCATTGCCCGGTCTGTGGAGATTGTACCCAGGGCCAATCAAGGCGAGGCCCTGTTAGATAGTGGCGATGACTATTGACAATGTCTGCACATGAAATGATGTAAAGAGCTTATATGTACTAGTTTATATTTACTACATTTATAGCAGGAACCTCTAAAAAGGACCTAGTGTCACTTCAGAGTCCCAGAAAGGTTATGTACAAAAATGGTTGGCATAGCACCCATATCATAGTGTTTGGCAAAATTCTTCAAAATACTGCTATGTAATCTTCAATCCTCATTACAATGTCTGGGCAATATTAAAGGGACAATAAGTCTATTGAAAAATACAATCAGGGCTCCCTGTTGGTGCAAGGGATTACGTGTCAGCACTATGAAGCAGTTCGCAGCTACTGTAGCACAAGTTCAATCCCTGGCCAAGAAGGTGACCCACATGGCACAGCAGACCTCTTCTGTCTCGCCCACTGCTCCCCTCAGCAGTGTATTTCAGTCAGTCTACCTGTTCTGTTCCCCACTGTCTCTGGTGAATCCTCTCACCCCACCCCTATCTCTGGCATGTACCTTACTTCTTGTATGCATAAATAAATAAATCTTTTTTTAAAAAAGCAATCGGGCCTCCCCTGGTGGTACAGGTGGTTGAGCACCGCACTGTGAAGCTGTCCACAGCCTCTTCAGTGTGGGTTCAATCCCAGCCAGCTGAGGGGGTCCCACATGACAAAGCAGACCTCTCCTGTCTCGCCTGCTGCTCCCCTCAGCAGTGTATTTCTGTCGTGTGCATGTTCTGCTCCCTGCTCTGTCTCTGGTGAATCCTGTCACCCTCCTGCGCATCTGGCCTGTACCCCCATTCTTGTATAAATAAAAAAATCTTTAAAAAAAATTAAAAATGCAATCAACAATGTTTGAGATTTAGGGCCTGTGTGAATAGAGCCTGCTACTGATGACATGACACATATTGACAACCAGCTTATTGTTTCCAATATCCTTAATAGGAGCTTAATATTGATAAAGAATAACATGTTATCAAGTACACATCAAGATTACTCCATTAAAAGTGAATCAGCTTTGAGCCTCCCTGGTGGTGCAGAGGGTTTAGCACAGTGCTGTGAAGCTGTCCACAGCCTCTGCAGCACAGGTTTGATTCCTGGCAGTCAGGGAGTTTCCCACATGGCACAGCAGACCTCTCCTATCACGCCTGCTGCTCCCCTCAGCAGTGCTTTCATCTGCCTGTTCTGCTCCCCATTCTGTCTCTGGTGAATCCTCTCACCCTCCCGCACCTCTGGCCTGTACCCCAGCTATTGTATAAATGAAAAATAAATCTTAAAAAAAAAAATTCTGGTACACTCTTAAAAAAAAGGATCAACAACAAAAAAAGTCAATCAGCTTTATTTTTTTTAAGGAGCTCTCACCCACAGCTGATGGCATGAGAGTTGGTACAGTCCCTGAGGATAATGGTGAAGAGATTCCTTAAAGAAACAAAAATGGAGGGGGACCCCCTGGTGGTGCAAGAGGTTAAGACACAAAGTGTGAAGCTGTCCAAAGTCTCTGCAGTGTGTGTTTAAGCCCCGCCAGCCAAGGAGTAACTCACATGGCGCAGCAGACCTTTCCTGACTCACCTGCTGCTCCCCTCAGCAGTGTACTTCTGTCAATCTGGCTGTTCTGTTTTCCACTGTGTCTCTGGTGAATCCTCTCACCCCCCAACACCTCTGGCCTGTACCCCAGCTCTTGTATGCATTAACAAATCTTTTAAAAAAAATGAAAATGGAAATTCCACATGATCAGCAACACTTGTGTTTTTAAGATTTTTATTATTTACCTATTTACAATAGCTAAACTTTGGAAACAACCCAAATGCCCAAAAATAGATGACTGGATCAAGAAGATGTGGGACATATACACCATGGAATATTACTCAGCATTCAAAAAAGATAAACACATGCAATTTGCAGCAACATGGATGGTGCTGGAAGGGATCATGCTCAGCGCAATAAGCCAGAAAGAAAAAGAAAAATGCCGGATGGTCTCACTCATAGCAGGAATCTAGAAAACTTAAATAAGGGACCAGGAATAAGAATAACTATAAGAAAGAAAAAATCAAAATCAACAAACAACTATGAACCAGAGACACACTATGGGGGAGCGGGGAACGAAGGGGTTGGGGTCAAAATAAGGGGGTTGCAATTGTATGGGGAATATTAAAATAAAATTTAAAAAAGATTTCTATTCATTCATTTATGCAAGAATTGGGGTATAGGCCAGATGCACGGGAGGGTGAGAGAATTCACCTGAGAGGGGAACAGAACAGGCAGACTAACGAAATACACTGCTGAGGGTAGCAGCGGGCATGACAGGAGACATCTCCTGCACCACGTGGGACCCTCGCTGGCTGACCAGATGGAACCAGCACTGCAGAGGCTGCAGATAGCTTCACAGCAGGGCCCTCAACCACCTGAGCCACCAGGGGAGGTCCTGATCAGCAACACTTCTATAAGTTATTTAACCAAACATGAAAACTCATTACAGAAAGATTTATCTACACCTGTGAGCAGAGCAACACTGTTCCCAACTGAGGAGCCATGGAGCAACCTACATCCCTTCAAGAGAGGCAGGGACATGAAGGGTGGAGCAAACAGGGGAGCACTGTAGGGCTGTGAGGAAAGAGCAAAGGGTTCACTGAGGACAAAATGGGTGGGCCAGGGAGATTATCTCCAGTGAAATAAGTCAAAAAGTAAAGACAAGTATCAGATGGCTTCAATTACCTGTGGAAAATAAATACCAAAACAAACATGTAAAGGCAAAATACAGTAGGACTACAAATTGAACGAGGCAAAAAGAAGATAAAGGTTACCAGAGGAAAAAAGCTAAAGGGTGAAATTGGGAGGGAGGTAGATGGGGAATGGGCCAGGGTGGTTTGGTACAGGTAGGAAATACCGGAGTAGGGCAAAGCCCATTAGAATATACAAAAAAACAGACAACTATTTCAATAGAATGCTTTTAGTGCTACACATGTCAAGACAGATTGAGGAGGCCAAAAGTAAGTTTAAAAATGTAAAAGTGGGGCCTCCCCGGTGGCGCAGCGGTTGAGCGCTGGGTTGCGAAGCTGCGTGCGGCCTCTGCGGCGCCGGTTCGATCCCCGGCTGCTCCCCGGCCACCAGAGGAGGGTCCCACATGGCGCGCAGACCTCTCCTGCCGCCCGCTGCTCCCCTCAGCAGTGTACTTCGGTCCTTCTGCCTGCTCTGCTCCCCGCTCTGGCTCTGGTGAATTCTCTCGCCCTCCCGCGCTTCTGACTGTACCCAGTGCATGTATAAACAAAACAAACAAACCAGAAAACAAATAAATAAAGCATGCCTCTATAAAAAAAAAAAAAAAAAAAAAAAAAAAAAAATGTAAAAGTGTAGAGTAAATGGTTTTTCAGTCCTCACACCATTAGGTTTACCCTGTCTGATGGGGCACCTGCAGTTGTTACATTGTTGCAAACTATCTTGTTTACTTTTGTGGGCCCTGGGAGGAGTATAGTCATTGTCACCCAGAGAAGCAGAAGCAGCAGAGAGGGAAGGGGAGAAAGAAGGCCTGAGAAGCCCAGAGTGAAGACTTGCTGGGGGCCCAGGAGGCCTGCAGCTCCCCTGCCTGCTGTGTACCTGGTTGCCACACTACATGTAAAGCTCAATAAAAGCCTGAGAAAGCCCTGAGGGCTCCAGGACTCTCCTTTACCCCATCTGCATAGGATCATAGAAAACCTGCTCAGTGCCCATCCTGCCTGCACAACATGGAAAGAAGTATAGGAAGGTTTTAAACATTTAAAAAATACCTGATATTTCCACAAGGTCACACATAGTATTGTCAAATATGGCAGGAAACTTGGGGAAGGCAAAGACTATATAAGTGTAACTGGACTGGAGAACTTAGGGCGTTGGTGTGCTTCACTAAAAATGCACAGACGACACCAAGTTCAAATGCAAAGGAGCAGTGGAAACTGCCAGAAAACAGGACTTTGAACAGTCTACTGGGCACCCTGGATTTACAGACCACCTGAGAGATATGCATGGGGAGGTACCTAAGGACGCCCCACTGGACACAATGTCACATATTCCAAGACTGATGCCTGCATTAAAGTCTCCAGTAGTTGTCTGGGACACACTATTATTTCAGCCACTGCACAGAAACCTTTAAAATTAAATGGTCCTTTTTAAACGACATGTGTTTGTTTTTTTTTTTTTTTTTTTACAGATTTTACTTGTTTATGCATACAAGAGCTGGGGTACAGGCCAGAGATGTGAGGGGTGAGAGGACTCACCAGAGACAGAGTGGGGAGCAGAACAGGCAGATTGACTGAAGTACACTGCTGAGGGGAGCAGCGAGTGAGTCAGACCAGGTCTGCTGGGCCATGTGGGTTACTCCCTGGCTGGCCAGGGATTGAACTCGTGCTGCAGAGGCCAGATTGCTTCATAGTGCGGTGCTTAACCCCTTCACCACCAGATAGGCCCCACATGTGGCTTCTTAACATTCATTCTACCCCACGTCCCCACCCACTATTCCTCTCTTCCTTCACCCCACACCTGACAGGCAACCATGACCAGTGAAGAACTTGGGAAGTGTTTATGTTCAGAAGGATGAAGAGCCACTGTCCACACCACCAGCTATGTCAACAGAGACCCAGGTACAGACTCTGCTCTGCAAGTGCTCAGGCCCCTTGGAGGGGCTGGATGGACACTGAACAGGTTTTATGATCCTGCAGACAGGGTAAAGGAGAGTCTTGGAACCCTTGGCCGGTTTCTCAGGCTTTTACTGAGCTTTACATGTAGTGTGGCAAACAGATACACAGCAGGCAGGGATGGGGGGAGTGGCCGGGCCACGAGGCTGGAAGGCCTCCAAGCCCCCAGCAAGTCTTCACTCTAGGCCTCTCCTTCCTCTACTTGCTTCTGCTTCTCTTGGCAACTATGTCTCTACTCCTCCCAGGGCCCACAGAAGTAAATAAGATAGTTTGTAACAATGTAGCAACTGCAGGTGTCCCATCAGGCAGGCCAATCCCAATGGTGGGAGGGCAGAATAGCCTGAAAATCCATTTACCCTACACCACTCTACATGCAGCACAGTTGGGGGAGGGGGGTCCTATCAGGGGGCACATGTCTGACTGACATGGCATCAGAAAAGAGCCCATTTCCACTCATGTTGGTGTGTGATTTGCCTGTATCTACATGACACCATTTTTCTTGTTGATGTCTGTTTCCTTGGAGAAAACTACATGTGGGTGGCGCAGGTGGTTGCACCCAGCGCTGTGAAGCCGTGTGCAGCGCCGGTTCAATCCATGCTGGCCGGGGAGAATCCCACACAGCGAAGCAGACCTCTCCTGTCTCGCCCACTGCTTCCCTCAGCAGTATATTTCCTCAGCCTGCCTGTTGTGTTCCCCGCTGTCTCTGGCGGATCCTCTCACCCTCCTGTACCCCGGTTCTTGTATAAATAAATTCAAAACAAGCAAACAAAACTTTACACGTTTCTACTTTTACATTTCAGTTCGTTAAGTCTCCTAAAGTGCATAAAGTCAATGTAACACAACTGAAAGGAAAACACATCACTCACCAGAGATTTATTCATTGTCTGCTGCTCTCACAAATGCATAAGGACTCGGGAGGTGGTGCTGGGAAAGTTGAATGGAGGCCAGCAGGAGAGGACGGAGGCAGCTGTACCTGGGGCCTGGAGTCTCCTGTCCAGAGTGCCCCACACACTGCCTGGAAGACACCGGGGAGTCCCTGCGTGTGACAGCTCTTTTACACTTGAGAAGGGGCAGGAACCTCCCACAGGTCCACAACTGGTAGAATTTTGGCTTATAATTTACTTTAAGTTAATAAAAACTGATACTTCCTAATGACTAATAGTTCATGCAAGGACCTAAGCAAAACTTTCAAAGATGATTAGTTAAAAATTGGACACAATTTCAAAGGAAATGATGCACCTTATGCACTTCTTTGGCAGGACACTCCCAGGAATGTTCCAGAGCCCGGCTTCCCCGGATTCATCTCCTCGTACACCCCCGTGCCCATGCCCTGGATGTGCCTGGGATGTTCCCCCAAGGGAACGAGGGCGCACAAGCACGGGAGGAAAAGCTCTTTCCCAGGGGTCTGGCCTCCGGGACACCGTCCTCCTGGGGAGACGCGGGGTCGCCGGCCAGGCACGCGGCGGGGCGACGGCCACGATAACGCAAGCAGAAAGGAAAGGAATTTCTTAGCCCAGCTGGGCCCAGTGAGGGCCCGGGACCACCACAGCCTCCGTGGCGCCGGGCAACACCGCGCTAGTGACGGGAAAAGGCCAAAACGCAGCACCGTCAACCTCCAGTGATGAAGCGGCCGGGAGAGTTTGTTTAAAAGGAGTGAACTGGAGGCTCTTCACAGAGAAAAACGCCACTGAAACCCGCACTCCGCGTTTCTAACGACTCACGCGAGCGGGAAATTCTGAAATTCCACAATCAACTGACGTCACAATCGCGCCAGGACGCCCTGAAAAGACGAAGGGGCGTCCCCTGGAGGGCTCACCTGCGCCCGGGCCGGGGCAGGATGGACGCCGAGCAGGAGCACGTTTTCCGGCCCCGCAGACGGGGGGGGGGCGGGGGGGGCGGGGGGAGACGCGTTCTGGGGCCCTTGGCGGCGCTCCCGGGCTTCTCCTGAGCGGCGACCTGGAGAGCAAAGCCAGGCTCTCGGAGCCTCCCCGCGCCAGCAGGTCCTCACCCCGGCCTTCGCCGGCCTCTTTCCTCTCCTGCCTTCCCGCTTCTGCTTCTCCCGCTTCCCGTCGTCGGAGTCCTCCGCCGCCTCGGCCTCGGGCTGCACTGCACTGCGCCACGCTACGCCACCCACGCACGCACGCCACCCACGCACGCACGCCACCCACGCACGCACGCCACCCACGCACGCACGCCACCCACGCACGCACGCCACGCGGCACCACGCCATCGGCTAAGTGCGCATGCGCAGTGGGAGGGCGGAAAAGCCTGACACCTTTCCACCCTACGTACCCTACAGCGCGGTCCCCCCAACTCCCACCCTCACTCCCGAGCCTCACCCCGGGGCTGACCCTTCCGGGTGCCTGTTCCAGGGCCACGGGGCTCCCCTCACCCGCCCTCAGGCCTCCCCTTCTCCCCACACCCGCACGTGGGTCCTCAGCCTCACCCCAAACCCAGCCTTTAGAGACCAAGTCCGTTCACAACTCGAGGGGGGAAGCAGCAGCGACAAAGGAGGGTCAGGCACCTCCGGGAAGGAGGATGAGACGCGACAAAAGTGAACAAAGTTCTTCACAATACTCCTACATGATTATCAGTATACACATTACAACGTCTGTTGTAAGTGTAGTTATTGCAAAATACAAGCAAATCTATTTGAGATTTAAGGCCTGTGTGAATGGAGCCTGACACCGTGTTCACAACCAGCTCATTGTTCCTATCAGTTACCTAATCCTTGAACGAGGAGGAACTGGTTAATGTTGATGAAGGATAACATGTAATCAGGGTGTCCCTGGTGGCCTAGGAATTAAGTCTCACCCTTATTACTGCTAAGGCCTGAGTTTGATCCAGGCCAGGGAGCTACCCTCATGGCACAACAGACCTCTCCTTTCATGCCCGCTGCTCTCCTCAGCAGTGTATTTCATTTACTCTGCCTGTTCTGCTCCCCACTGAATACTCTCAACCACTACACTGCTGGCCTACATTCTTTTCTTCTGTGCAAAAAAAAAAAAAAAAAATCACAAAATATGTTATCAAATATACCTTAGATCTCCTATGGGCCTCCCTCGTGGCACAGGGGTCAAAGTCTCAGTGCTATCAAGCTATCACCAGACACTGCAGCACGAGTTCAATCCCCAGCCAGGGAGAGGACCCACATGGCACAGTGGCCCTTTCCTGCCTCACCTGCTGTTGGGTCCATCCGCCTGTTCTGTTCCCCACTCTGTCTCTGGTGAATCCTACACCCCCCACCTCTGGTCTGTACCCCAGTTCTTGTATGCATAAATAAATCTTTTTAAAAAATCAGCTTTATTAAAACATATATTAAGTTCACATGTAGTCTAAATATTCAGATACCAGTGTATGCTCTTTGGTCAAAATCAAGACACAGACATTTAAGAAACATTCTTGTTCTTCTGCTTCCTGGATCCCAGAGTTGGTGGTCAACAGGGAGCTTCATTACTTAGCTAATGTGCTCACTCACAATTCTATGCTCTGTTATTGGAAAGTAACTTGTTCTCTCATCATGTGCCTATGAAGATTTCTTTTGGAAACATCAAATAATATTAATGATCTCTATTACTATCATGATTTTAATCAGCTGTCAGTATATTTTCTTAAGGAGAAATTGATGCAATGTTTTGAACCCCAGCATGTTCCTGTGTCTGACTTTTATCACAATAATGCCTATACTCGTCTTGGTAATTTAGATCAATGTTTTGAGTCCAGCAGAAGTAGCATCTTCATTTAGATTTTCTTGACACATGGCACATTACTGTCCTAAATTTACCTGCAAGTTAGATATGAACAAATCCATCTACTAGGAGGGTCTCTCAGATGCTTAAAGCAGCAAAAAAGCAAACGCATGACTTCACATACACAAGGGGAGAAAGCCACAGTATGAAGTGAATTAGTGCTGAATTACATTCACCACTTCTTCATAATATCCTAAATAAGACTTAAAAAGTATACAAATAAGACTGTTAAAAAGTCAACCATCGTACTGAACATTTCCTAAGTCTCAACATTCATAGGGTTTGGCTCCAGTGTGACTTTCCGATATAAAATGAGGCGTGATTTCCTGTAGAATGTTTTCGTATACTTTCGACACTCATAGGGTTTTTATGCTGCATGAGTTGTCTGATGAACAATCAGATCTGACTTGTGTCAGAACAATTTCTTATAGCCTTTACATTTATAATGCTTCACTCCTGCTTTTTTTTTTTTTTTAAGGATTTTTTTATTTAGGGCCTCCCCGGTGGCGCAGCAGTTGAGTGCTGGGCTGCGAAGCTGCCCACAGCCTCTGCAGCGCCAGTTCAATCCCCAGCCGCCAGCGAGGGTCCCACATGGAGCACAGACCTCTCCTGCCACACCTGCTGCTCCCCTCAGCAGTACTGTACTTCGTCAGTCTGCCTGTTCTGCTCCCCACTGTGGCTCTAGTGAATTCTCTCACCCTCCCATGCTTCTGAGTGTACCCAGTGCTTGTATAAATAATAAAATCTTAAAAAAAAAAAGATTTTTTTATTTATACATATAAGAGCTGGGGTGTAAGCCAGAGGTGCGGGGGTGAGAGGATTTCCCAGAGTGGGGAGCAGCAGTCAAGGCAGGAGAGGTTTCGTGCACCATGTGGTATACTCCCTGGTTGGCTGGGGATTGAACTCATGCTACAGTGGCTGTTGATAGCTTGACAGGTCTGTCTTAAATCCCTGCGCCACCAAGGAGGCACACTGTGTGAGTTTTGATGTACACTGAGGTCAGTCTTCCATGAGAAAGGTTTCCCACATTCTTTTTTCTTTTTTTTAAGATTTATTTATTTATAGAAGAACAGGTGTACAGGCCAGATGAATGAGAGGGTGAGAGGATCCACCAGAGACAGAGTGGGGAACAGAACAGGCAGACTGATGAAATACACTGCTGAGGGGAGCAGCGGGCGAGACAGGAGAGGTCTGCTGCACCAAGTGGGACGCTCGGCCGCCGGCCGGGATCAAACTGGCACTGCAGAGGCTGCGGACAACTTCACAGCGTTGGAGCTCAACCGCCTGCGCCACCAGGGGAGCCCCTCCCCACATTCTTTATAGCCAAAGACCCTCTTTGTAGTGACACGTCTCTGATACATTTTGTGTAAGAAATAAAACATGTGTCAGAAGGTTTATGATGGATTTGTATTTTCTCATGCTCAGTAAAAACACATTTTAGACATTTCACCGCATGTATATTACTGAAAAATATTCTCTCCTAACAGAGATCTCTTAAGCTGACTGACATGAAATTTAAAGCTGAGTTTACCCCCACTTTCATTACATTTATGCTGTTTATCTTCAAAATGTTGACAAAGATTCAAATGTACTGGTTTCTCATCAATACGTTTCCTCCTTTTGTTACTTGTACAGAGACTCTCCCCTATTTGAGTTATATCATCTGATGACTATGATGCTCAGGATACCTGACAGTTTCTCTAGTCATACTAAAGACCTCAAGTTTCTTTGTAGCATGCATCTCATGAGGCTCAGCAGGGATAAACATATTCTTACATACAGCAAAATTCTCAGGCATTGATGCTGAAATGTTTCCATTTCTGCTATTCAGGTTCAAACAATGACTTGAGTCCAAATTATTTGTTTTCCCAAAGTTCCTCCATGGTTGACGTTTTGCTGTTGACAACAACAACTTGCCACAAACATCTGTCCTGATTTGGCTGGTTGGCTTTAATCAGGTACTCCACAGTACAGGTATCTAAAATGAGATAAAAATAACCATCTCTATGCACAACATCTAAATGTTTCTGTAAATGTTAATATAAAGGCACAAAGTTGCTTTACAACAACACAAAACAAAACAGAGTAACTGGTTTTGATTATCTGAATGAAATTTCCACCCCAAGCAAATAAGGTAACATGAAATAAATACATTTTCTAAGGCCAAAACAGGTTGAAAAGCAATCAGTAATACGTCTTTCATAGTGTGTAGTGTGACTTTTTAAATTCATTAAGAAATATTTGGTAGGGCCTTCCTGGTGGCGCGAGGAATTAAGACACAACCTATGAAGCTATCCACAGTCACTGCAGCACAAGTTCTATCTCTGGCCAGGGAGATACCCACATGGCACAGCAGACCTCTCCTGACTCGCCCACCTCCCCTCAGCAGTCTATTTCAGTCAATCTGCCTGTTCTGCTCCCCACTCTGTCTCTGGTGAATCCTCTCACCCCTCTGGCCTGTACTCAGTCTTGTATGCATAAATAAACTTTTTTAAAAACTTATTTATTTATACAAGAATAGGGGTACTGGCCAAATGTGCGGGAGGGTGAGAGGATTCACCAGAGACAGAGTGGGGAACAGAATAGGCAGACTGACAAAATACACAGCTGATGGGAGCCGTGGGCGAGACAGGAGAGGGCGGCTGCTCTATATGGGAGTCTCGCTGGCCAGCGGGGCTCAAACCCGTGCTGCAGAAGCTGCGGACAGCTTCACACTGCCTGCGCCACCAGGGAGGCCCCCCAAAAAATAAATCTTAAAAAAAAAAAGGAATATTTGGTAAACATATTCATTTAACTTTAGATAAAGATTACAGCTAGTAGCATTTAATCTACCATTTGGCCTGCATTCTACTGTTTCTCTTACGATGACTATGTGACTTTAGTGGTGCTTAATTATGCTGTCTAGATGTCATCGTTTTCCTGGACAATCTATCAGATGTGAGTGAGGGACATGTTTCATTCACTGCAGCAAGAATATGGCTTCGAAAACAAGGATTCTGCATCTGGTTTTCTTTGGTTTTTACTTCTCTTTGGGCACAGGACATAGTCATGTGGGTTCCTTTTTCTTTTTCTTTTAAAGTCATATCAGTATCAATGGGGGGAAAAAAGAGACCTTACTGCTGCAGGAGGCCTTGCTGCCCCAGCCAGATAAGACACTGGCAAGCAGCTAAGAAAAGGGCCTCACACCGTGGGGCTAAAGAAAAAGGGCCTCACACAGTGGCCCTTTTAAAGGGCCGAAGACTTTTAAAGAGTTCATATGGTGGGGCTGAAGATTCCTTGTGCCTCATGCCATGGGGCTGAAGATTGAACATCCCTTTGTTTCTTGTTCTTGGTCATAGTAAGAAAGAACTCAGCAAATACATTATACAAATACATTATACATATAAGAACTCAGCAAATAAATTATACATATAAGAATACTGTAAATACATGGCATGGAAAATTACCTACTTAAAAATTAAAAACTGAATAATTTGGCCCAGTTGACAATGGGAAATAATTATTGTGCAACTAGCATGCCTGATAAGCAACCCAGAGCTGGCCGCAATTTTCCTTATATGGAAGTTCCATAAAGAAGCTTTCTAATGATTCATAGAGTTGATTACGCTAGGAGTTTCTAGGTAGAAAAAAAGCACAAAACATTTCTTTGATTATTGTGTTTCACAAATACAAAATTTACCAGTGTCTAAAACTTCCCATGAACGTGCTGAAAGAATAAACAAATGCCTGAAGAAATACCTGAATGAAAACGGTCTGTGAGAACACAGTAATATTGCAAATATGGAAAATGTGCCTAATGCAGCTTCACCCCAAACCCAGGCTTCAGACACTAAGTCCAGGTTCAAATCGCAGGCGGGCAGCCCAAGCTGAGATACTGAACTTCAGGCAGAAGAGGGGTGTGCCAGGCCACACCCGTGGAGAACGTGTAAGCCCCGCCCCAGAGCCTCTGGCAGGACAGCATGGGCTGGGATTACATTTCCCACAATACTGGGCGCCATCCATAGGGGACATCTTGGGGCCTAGTAGCATTGGAATTTGTAGCACGGAGGTGGGATCAGTGGAGCTTGAGGGAAAATGGACACGTGGGTGGGGCCCTGAAAATGGGGGCGCCAGAACTTGTTCAGGGTTGCAGTGAATAGGAAAGGAACTGGGTCCCCCTGGGGCGGGGGGTGAAGGGGTTAGAGTCTCAGAGCTTTCAAGGTCATGGCAGCTTCTGATGCTTGAGTTTGATCTCTGGCCAGGGAGCTGACCCATCTGGCCCAGCAGAACTCTCCTTTCTCCCTGCTGCTCCCCTCAGCAGTGGTTTTCAGTTCATCTGCTCCCCACTCTCTTTTGAATCCTTTCACCTCCACACCGTCCCCCACACCGATGGCCTATACCCCCAGTTCTTGGATGCAGAAATAGAAATAATTTTTTTTTAAGTAGGGGACCTTGTTGTGTACTCCTATAATTGGGTTCATCACAACTCCGCTTCTTTGTAGTTCCGGAGCTGCATCCTCATAAGGGTGGAGCATGGAAGACTCCCTGGTCAGCCATGCAGATTAAACTCCAAGTAAGGCATTTCTGGTGTTAGACATTGCCGTCCTGGTTGCCAGAGGACTTGCACAGCCTCCTTAGACCCCATTCTATCCTTGCACTGCTGTCTTGCCTAGAATCTGCCGAAGGCCACCAGGGCTGAGTCAAAAGTCCCGTCATTCTATTTAGTTCTTTTTTTTTAACAATTTATTTATTTATACAAGAACCGGGGAACAGGCCAGATGTATGGGAGGGTGAGAGGATTCACCAGATACAGGGAAGGGAACAGAACAGGCAGACTGACTGACTGAAATACACTGCTGAGGGGAGCAGCGGGCGAGACAGGAGAGGTCTGCCCTGCCATCGTTCTTTCTTTCTTTTTTTAAAGATTTATTTTTTTTATTATTTATTTTTTTTAAAGGAGAACTCTTATTTTTTTTGTTTGTTTGTTTATTTATTTATTTATTTATTTATACAAGCACTGGGTACAGTCAGAAGCGCGGGAGGGTGAGAGAATTCACGAGAGCCAGAGCGGGGAGCAGAGCAGGCAGAAGGACCGAAGTACACTGCTGAGGGGAGCGGCGGGCGGCAGGAGGGGTCTGCGCGCCTAAAGATTTATTTATTTATACAATAACTGGGGTACAGTCAGAGGTGCAAGAAGGCAAGAGAATTCACCAGAGACAGAGCAGGGAGCAGAATGGGCAGATGGACCCAAGGTATTGCTGAGGGGAGCAGCAGACGAGACAGGAGAGGTCTGCCAAGCCATATGGGTTTCTCCCTGGTGGCCAGGGATCAAACTCATGCTGCAGAGGCTGTGGATAGCTTCATAGTGCTGTGTTTAACCCGTTGCACCACCAGGGAGGTCTCTAGAACTTGATTACTTATATATTGGTGATCAACTCGCGGGGCCACCAGGGAGGCCCCACATCATTCTATTTCTTAAAAGATGTCAGTGTGAGCTGCTGGCACTATCCAGAATTTCCCCCAAATGGAATAGAAGGTGCCTCCATCCTGCCAGACAACTTCTACAAACATCTGCATTTTAGAAGTAATTGCCTCTTCTCTGAAAAACAAGCAACTGCTGCCCAAGCCAGTGACATCACGAAATGCTTCCCTACATACACACCCTGCTCTCCCGAATGCACGTAATATAAACACACACCTACTTTTTTCCCCCTAACCATTCTGTCATTCCTAAGTGATGTCTCAATGTATTTATATGTTGGATTAAATATATATCAAATCTAAGACGTGTGTTTGAAGGCCATGAAAAGGTCTCTACCTGCAGTGTTTCAAAGATCCTGAAGACTGTATTGCTTCAGGTAAACCAAAGGGAGAAATACAGTGAGAATTACTTAATGGAAGTAACTAAGTATTGTCTATTGTCAGCTCTGTGGAGATTTTATCCAGGGCCAATCAAGGGGAGGTCCATAGACAGGTGAGGCAGGACAATTTCTGCATGTGAAGTCATGTGAAGAATTTATATTTTCTTGTGCTCATGCAGAGTGTTACAACAGAGGATAGCAGGAACCTCTAAAAGAGGGTCTAGTGTCACTTCAGGATCCCCAGGGATAGTTTAGGTACAAAAAATGGATGGCAAAGCACCAATACCATGAAGTGTTTTACAAAATTCTTTAAAAACACCCAACAATATCTGGGGTTACTAACAACAAAAAATGTGTAGTTGTTGAAAATGCAGTCAAAGCTATTTCAGATATAAGGTATCGAGAACAGAGCCTACTAGTGATGACGTAACACTGTGTAGACAACCACCTGATTGTTCTCATCTGTTACCGAAAGCCTTAAAAATGGAGGAATTGGTAAATGCTGATGAGCGACAACTTATAATCAAGTACATGTCAGGATGACCACATTAAAAATCAATCAGCATTATTAATATAAAGTTCACATATAGTCTAAATAATAAGACATTCAGATAAGACACTGAAATGTGCCTGAAGGAATTAAAAATAAGATGAATTCTATCTTACCTATATGAAACTCAACATAGGCATCAGTGCACCATGTGGAATACAAGGATGGAACTAGATTCTCTGAAAACTGATCATGAAAATGGAGTCATGTTGATCACACTAATATCAGAATAATATGATCTGAGTCTAAAGCATCACAGAATGAAAAGAATGCCCTAAGAACATAACAGAAAACCACATGTATTGGGAAACCCTGTAATATTACATATGCACAAACATGAGGTCCTGAATGTGTGTAGCACACAAACACAGAACTGAATGCAGAAGAGGAAAACATAAAATCAAGGAGAGGTTCAAGCCCCAATTGCAACTGGAAAGAAAATAATGGTATAAATTCAGGAATCGGAGTTGACAAACGGGGATGAAAAACAATTATAAAAAAAGATGTGGTGTATATACAAGATGGATTAGTACTGAGCTATGAAAAAAGGATACATATGACCATTTGCAACAACAAGGATGGAATGATGGGGGAGGATGATGCTCAGTGAAATGAATCAGAAGGAGAAAGACTTACTGGATGAATTCACTCCTGTTTGGAACATGGAGAAACAAAGCAAAGAAACTGACAATACAAACCAAAATGAACTTGAAAATTAGGACTGCAGAAGTGAGGGTACTGAAAAGATAGGGACTATGGGTGTGGACACGAAAGTGGGAGGGGATTCAAAGATCTATGGTGAGGCCCATGAGTGCACGACTCTTAATCTCAGGGTCGTGGGTTCATGCCCCACGTTGGGCGCCACCTGCCGCGGACCAGCACAGCAGTGAACAATGAGCCCGTCTCAGGGTTGAGAGACTGCGCAAGGTGGTCAGGGATTCGGCTGAAGAAATGACAAACAGACACACTTCAAGAGAGAGTGTAAATCTGAGTGCGATTTTATCTGAGTTAGTCTCCAGTATATATACAGGAGCAGTGAATGGATTTAGCTTATCGTTGAGTGGTTTACATCTGGACCTAGCCTTTTTCTTAAGTAGATAATCCATTAGTTTTTTTTTTTTTTTTAGAGAGGCATGTTTTTATTTTATTTATTTATTTGTTTGTTTGTTTTTTTTTGTTTATACATGCACTGGGTACAGTTAGAAGCACGGGAGGGTGAGAGAATTCACCAGAGCCAGAGCAGGGAGCAGAGCAGGCAGAAGGACTGAAGTACACTGCTGAGGGGAGCAGCGAGCGGCAGGAGAGGTCTGCGCGCCATGTGGGACCCTCCTCCGGTGGCCGGGGAGCAGCAGGGGATCGAACCGGCGCCGCAGAGGCCGCAGGCAGCTTCACAACCCAGCGCTCAACCGCTGCGCCACTGGGGAGGCCCCATTAGTTTTGTTTTTAAGCTATATGATTGCATTTTTTGTTTTACTAGCTACTTTTTCACTTAAACTATATTTTAATTATTACAGGGTTTAGTAATGTTTTATTTGAGTCAGCCTTGTGTTAAGGATTTCATGATTTTTTAATTAACAACAAATGACCTTTATAGAAGAAAGAAGGAAGTTTTAGAAAGACAATGAAGGGATAAAGTTTGTAGTTCTAGAAAGACGAGATAAGGTTTTAGCTCCTGGTGGTCGTAATCCTTTGATAGGCTTCTGTCTTATCCATGTCTTCAGGGAACTTTGATGTACTCCCCTGCCTCAGGGAGTTTTTGCTGTTCTCCCCCTGCGCGCTGGTTTCTTGCCCAGCCGGACCTAGGGACCTTGGCGAAAGCCATTAGCCCTAAAGGTCACTGCAGGGGGAGGTGCAGCAGACAGACATCTGAGGAGATGAGAATCTATTCCCGAATCACATAGAGTGAGGTAAACCTGTGTTTCCTAGATTCCAAAAAAACTAAGAAATACTGAGAACACATTGAAATGAAACAAACTCCCCAAAACATGTGGGATTCAGAAAACAATACTAAGAGAGAAATTTAAAGCATTAAACAATTACACTAGCAATAAGAGGGATCTTACCTGAGCAACGTAACTGCATCTCTCCAGGAATTAGAAAAATAATTTAAGCTCCATATTGGCAGAAAGGAGGCCATTTTAAAAGAAATAAGAAATACATACATGTAACATCATGGAAGCAGGTGCTTCCCTCTGAAAGGAAGTCTAGATTTTGAAAGATCAACAACATGGACAAAACCTAAGTTCAATTCAGTAGAAGGAAAGACAAGAGGACTCAGTGTCCTAAAAGAGATGCCCCAGGGAGAGCAAGACTAAGATTCCAAGAAAAAATAGCAGCATGTCTGCAACCCTTGAAACAGAGCTTCCCAGACATATTTAGGATGTTTTACTGCTGACCACTGTATCCCTCAGCTGTGTCCTCTGCCAGATTCAATCCACCTACCTGGGAGGAGGACGGGATCTGCACTTCTCTTCACATCCCAGGGCTCCATTTTTTTGCTCCAACAAGATGACCAGCGCAGGCGTAGACACAGCAAGACCTGTTTATTAGGACAGGTGATATGAGATATCCTGAAGATTCTCAAATTCCCAATACAATACAGTATTGTGCTTAGTAGAGGGGACAGTATAGAAGGTTCTTGAAAAGGATCACTGCAAATACTTTTTCTGACAGCACCTTTACCAGAAATCATTCAAATTTTAATATCCTGGGGCCTTCCTGGTGGCGCAAGGGGTTAAGGAACAGCCTGTAAAGCTGTCCCCAGCCTCTGTAGTATGAGATGGATCCCCGGCCAGCAAGGGAACGACCTACATGGCGCAGAGGACCTCTCCTGAGTCAACCGCTGCTCCCCTCAGCAGTGTGCTTCGGTTCTGTTCCCGCTCTGTCTCTGGTGAAACATCTCACTCCCCACACCTCTGGCCTGAACCCCAGCTCTTGTATGCATAAATAAATAAATCTTTAAAAAAATAAATTTTCATATCCTGAGAACCATTTCTAGATATCCGAGTCCTAGGAATGTGGTAGAAGCTGGAATTTTAGCTTGTAGCAATAACACACTGATAGCTTGTAATAAGAAACGGATTTTCTTGAATGAGCATTAGTAGAGAGAGCAGGTTGTAGATCACCCTAAGAGAGGAGAAGTTTAAGTCATGATGAAACAGTGAGACTTTCTTTCCAACAAACCCACTGTTTTTCTTAAAAGCAGGGGTCTAAATGTAGCCTAGAAATCCTGACATCCCAGGAGCATACCCACACAGAGCACAGGAAACGTTGAGGGCAGATAAGGAAATCTGGAGGGATATTCTCCTTACCCAAGGACACCAGGTTCCTGTAGGTCTCAAACATCATATCCCAGTACAAATCCCACTGCTCCTGGTCCAGGCAGTCCTACTCCTCGTGCAAGAATTCTACGGCCACATCTCTGAAGGTCAAGGGTTCCTGAAATCAAAATGTACAGCTGCCATGTGGCCACCAGCAGAGCTCTGAATAGGATATGAGGTGAAAAGAGAGTTCTGAGGGGCCCCTCATGGTGGCACAAGGGGTTCAGTCTAGCACTATGAAGCTATGAGAACCACTGAAGGATGAGTTGGATCCCTGGCCAGGGATCTGACTCACATGGTGCAGCAGACCTCTCCTGTCTCCCTGCTGCTCCCCTCAGCAGTGTATTTCAGTAGATCTGCTGTTCTGCTCCCCACTCTGTCTCTGGTGAATCCTCTCATCCCCCTTCCAACACCCTCACCTCTGGTTTATGTATAAATAAATAAAATAAATCTTTAAAAAAAGGGAGACCTTGTTCTAAGAGAGAAGAATGCTCTTATGAGTGAGATCCGTGTTTACACAGTAACAGTCTAATACACCCACTGAGCCCAGAGGATCACATACACCCACGAAACCACCATGGATGCTATAATTTCAGTGATGTCAAATCTGACCCAGGGCACATATTTGTACAGCAAGGAGGCAGGACAATTGGAAAATTCATAGTAGACTGACCTGAAAGACTGGAAGGAAATTATAGGTAATGATCAAATACTAAGCAAAATAACAACAACAAAAAAACAATCGTATTTGAACACCTGGTGTCCATTATATATGTTGAACTATTTAATAATTTTTACAATTGAATACATGATAAAATTTTTGGTTTATTTCTCTGAAAGTATAAACAAGTTATGAAGAGAATGTGTGTGAAATGACTGGCATTTCCATTGACATTCACACCACAAAAAATGAAATAACTGTGATTATTTCATTAAAGTTAAAGAAGGTGGGGCCTACCTGGTGGCACAAGGGATTAAGAGGCAAGCACCATGAAGCTGTCCACAGCCACTGCAGCATGAGTTCAATCCCCGGCCAGGGAGGTGACCCACATGGTGCAACAGACCTCTCTTGATTCGCCCGTTGCTCCCCTCAGCAGTGTATTTCAGTCAATCTGCCTGTTCTGCCCCCCACTCTGTCTCTGGTGAATCCTTTCACCCCCCACACCTCTGGCCTGTACCCACTTCTTGTATACATAAGTAAATCTTAAAAAAAAAAAAAAAAAAGTTAAAGAAGTAGGTGCAGGACCTGAACACTGAAAATTATAAAACTGTAGTAAAGGAAATAAAAGATACAAAGAAATAGAAAAATGTCTTGGCCTCCTAGGTGGGAAGAATTAACATCATAAATGGCTTTATTGTCCAGAGCTATTTACAAATTTAATCTAATAGCTATCCACATACCAAGGAGGTTCTTTGTAAGGAAACAGAACACTCACCACATTTATATGAACCCACAGAAGGTCCCAAATAGCAAAAAATCTTGAGAGAAAAAGTGAAAATGTAACTATAATACTTCCTGACTTCAAACTATATTAAATGCCAAGCGTAATCAAAACATTATTTTACTGGAACAAAACCAGAACTCAGAGCAATGGAAGGCAATTAAAAACCCAGAAAGCAAATGATATAAATACGAAGAGTTCACCTTGGACAAAGGAGCTAAAATCATACAATTCAGACAAGACAGCCTCTTTAACAAATAGTACTGGGATGGGGACTCCTGGGTGGCCTAGGAGTTAAGAGTCAGTGCTATCACGGCTATTCCAGGCCAGAGAGCTGACCCACCTGTGGCACAGCAGACCTCACCTGTTCACCTGTCTCACTCACTGCTTCCCTCAGCAGTGTATTGCAGTGGATCTATCTGTTCTGCTCCTTCCTTTCTTTCTGGTGAACCCTCTCAACCCTGGAACATCTAGTCTACACCCCAGTTCTTCCATGCATAAATATATCTTCCCAAAAAATGGTGTTGGGTGTTGGAGGACGCCCAGTGTAGTGAGCAGAAGGGCCTTGACCCGAGTCCCTAAGGCATGTGAAAACACATGCGTCTCGGAGGAAAACCTCTGAGTGACAGGACTTGGTGTTGAGAGCCTGGAAAGTGACCTGCGTGGAGTCAGGCTTCTACATCTCCACAGTCTGAGAATAACAAAATGGAGAGACCCTGCGCAGTGAGCAGAAGGGCCTTGACCCGAGTCCCTAAGGCATGTGAAAACACATGCATTTCGGCGGAATACCTCTGCGTGACAGGACTTGGTGTTTAGAGCCTGGAAGTGACCTGCATACATCTCCACAGCTTGAGAATAACAAAAATAATGAGCGAACTTCCCAGGCTCTGGCTAGGGGGCAATAAGATTATGTGCGTGAGAACTAACCACCTGGTACCCTACTGTCTGAAGTAAATAGTTAATAGTAAGAAAATAGACTAATCACTCATACCTGTTATCATTATATGGTATGCTTTGATGTTACACCTACTGCAATTAAAATAGTATATAATGAGCACTAAAACAATAAAGATTTACTGCATGCTAGACATGACAGTCCCCCATGTCAAATTTCCCTCACCGTCGTGTCCCAGGTCTCGGACTCACTAGAAGTCCACAGTTGGGAAACATGTATAGTGACTTGCAAAACTAAGAAGCAAGACCCATTCAAAACTCCATACAGAAAACTAATTCCAAATGGCTGAAATGTTTAGACATAAGAGCCCAAGAGCTTGAAGTACTGAGAGCAATTAAGGGGTACACTATAGGACAGGTGCTACAAAATGTATTAGGGAACACAACCCCAACACCAAGGGAAAGAAAGCAAAATTCAACAAGTGGGACAACACCAAACCTAAAAGCTTTTGGAACGCAAAAAAAACCAGCACAGGAACAGAAATGCATCCCACAGAATATAAAAAAATATTTGCATGTCACACATCTGACAAGGAGTTCCTTCCAAAATTTATAATGTATCCGGGCCTCCCTTGTTGTGCAAGGGGTTTAAGACACAATGCTAGGACGCTATTCCCAGTCACTGCAGCATGAGTTTGAGCCCCGTCCAGGGAGCTGACCCACATGGCGCAGCAGACCTCTCCTGTTTCACTTGCTGCTCCACTCAGCAGTGTATTTCAGTACATCTATCTGTTCTGCTCCCTACTCTGTCTCTGGTGAATGCTCTCACTCCTGCATCTCTGGCCTGCACCCCAGCTCTTGTATGCATAAATAAATAAATCTTTAAATAACAACAAAAAAAAATTTAAAAAACCCAAAATTTATAAATTCCCCACCCAATCTGAGAAACCAAGCAATGAGTCCATTAAAAAAGGGCAAAGGAACTTTGCTAAAGAGGAAATTTTGAGGTCCAACAGACATAGGAATGTTCACCTTAATTTATTGTAAGTGAAATGTCAATTAAAACCACACTGAGATGCCACCTCACCCCTTGACAGTGGCCCAAATAAAAAAGAGTAAAATGAACAACGCTGGAGAGGGTGCAGAGAAAAGTGGGCTCTCACCCACGGCTGGTGGCCATTAGAGCAGTACAGTCCCTGTGGATAACGGTGCAGAGATTTCTTTAAGAAATAAATATAGAAATGCCATATGACCAGCAATACTTCTATAAGTTATTTACCCCAATGTGCAAAACTCATTACAAAAAGATTCATCTACTCCTAAGAGCAGAGCAGCACTGTTCCCAACTGCCCAGCTAAGCTAAAGAAAACAAATCACTCACCAGAGATTTATCCATTGTCCACTGCTCTCAAAGATGCCAGAGGACTCTGGAGGCGGCGCTGGGAGAGGTGATGGAATCCTGCAGGAGAGGACTGAGGCAGCTGGTCCCGGGTCCTGGAGTCTCCTGTCCAGAGCGCTCCACACACTGCCTGGGAGAGACCAGAGTCACTGCGCGTGACAGCTGTGCTTACACTCTGAGAAGGAGCAGGAAAGGACCCATAAGTCCATTATTAATACTATTTGGGTTTACCATTTACCGCGTTAATAAAAACTGATACTTCCTAACTAGGAAGAACTAAAGAAAAATTTCAAAGATGATTAATTATTTCAAAAGGGCCTCCCTTGGTGGCCCAGGAGGCTGAGCCCAGCGCTGTGAAAGTGTCCACAGCCTCTGCAGCGCCGGTTTGATCCCCAACAGCCTGCTGGGGAGATTCCCACATGGCCGGCAGACCTCTGCTGTCTTGCCCGCTGCTGCCCTAAGCAGGGTATTCCCCCCCATCTGCCTGTTCTGTTCCCCGATCTGTCTCTGGTGGATCCTCTCACCCTCCAGGGCATCTGGCCTGTTCCCTGGCTCTTGTAGGCATGAATAAATAAATCGTAAAAAAAAAAAAAAAAAAATTACTTAAAAAATTGGTCAAAATTTCAAAGGAAATGAAGTACCTAATGCAGGACACTCCCAGGAAAGTTCCAGAGCCCTGCTTCCACGCATTCATGTCCTGTTCACATACGTACACCCCCCCCCCCCCCGTGACAACACACACACACCCTGGGGTGTCCCCCCAAGGGAACGAGGGCGCACAAGCACGGGAGGAAAAGCTCTTTCCCAGGGGTCTGGCCTCCGGGACACCGTCCTCCTGGGGAGACCCGGGGTACCGGCCAGGCACGCGGCGGGGCGGCGGCCACGATAAACGGGCACAAAGGACGGGAAACTCTTACCCGCCGGCCCGGTCAGGGCCCGGGACCCCCGCAGCCACGCCGAGAGGGACGCGAGACCCCGGAACGCAGCCCCGTCCGCGTCCAGGCGGGAAACGGCCGCGCGTGCCCCAGGGTGAGCTCGGGGTCCCCGCGGAGAAAACGCCCGGGGACCCGCGGAAGCCACACCCCGGGGCGGGCGCTCGTGGCGGGGGGTTCCGCATCCCACGACAGCCGTCCCAGGGCGTCACAGCGCACGGAACTCCCGGAAACGCGGAGGGGCGGCCGTCGGGGGGCTCGCCCGTGTCCAGGGCGGGGACCCCGCTCCCCTCGCCCCCGAGCCTCGGCCCGGCGGACCCTCCCGGCGCCTGTTCCGGGCCACGGGCCCCCTCACCCGCCTCAGGCCTCCCCCGGCGCCTCCCCGCCGCGCCCGCCCCCCGCTCCCGCACGCGGGTCCTCAGCCTCACCCCAAGCCCAGCCTCGGCGACAAGGCCGCTCGCAACCCGCGGTGGGGGGGGTGGGACAGCGATCCCGGAGGCCCCGGGGCCCCGGGAAAGACGGGGAGGACGCGGGGCCGCGCCTGCGCAGACGAGGCCGGCGAGGCCGGCCGCCCCTGGGCGGAGCCCCGGGCGGGAACCGCGTGTCCTCGGGAGACTACATTTCCCACAATCCCGCGCGCCGCGCGTCCGGGAGCGTCAGGGCGCGTCCTCCCCCAGTGGGGCTCAGGGACTTAAGCGGCGGCGGGGCCGCTCACATTGTTCGGGGCGCAGGGCCTGACTCCGCGGGGCACGGAAAAGGAGGGGGTCCTTGTTTTCATGCAAGAGAAGTGGGTTTTTCTCACTCTGCCCTCCCCCTGCGCTTGGGGTGCTGTATCCCTGGGAGAGTGTTATGGGCACATTCCCCGGACAGCATCTGTATTTTATTTAATTTTTTTTAAAGATGTATTTATTTATGCATACAAGAGGGGGGGGGTACCGTCAGAGATGCGGGGGGGGGGTGGGGGAGGGTGCGAGAGGACTCACCAGAGACAGAGTGGGGAGCAGAACAGGCAGACTGACTGAAATACACTGCTGAGGGGAGCATTGGGTGAGGCATGAGAGGCCTGCTGCGCCATGTGGGTAGCTCCCTGGCCGGCTGGGGATCAAACTGGTGCAAATTTCTTCAAAGTGCGGTGCTTAACTCCTTGTACCACCAGGGAGGCCCTGGACAGCATCTTGAATAAACCCATGTCAAGGCCTTTCTTGTGTGGCATCTCTGCCTTTCTGGGCGCCAGTGAGAGACCAGCTTTGGAGGCTCCCAGCGGGGACTCTGTACCCTCAGACCCCATTCTCTCCATGCACTGTGTGAGGGCTCAGAGCTGCTGGAGGCCTCCAGGCTGAGCCAGGGTCCTTCCGCCTGTATCTTAAAAGGTCTGAGTTTGAGGGGCTCGCAGTCTCCTCATTTCTCGCTAAATGGGCTTTTAACGACATTTTCCATCCTGCCAGACAGATTTTAAGAGTTACCGCATCCTGACCAAAAACTAAGCAACTGCTGCGTGACCCACTACCAGCACTGCCTGCCTGTGACGGACATCAGGCCCAGAGACACACACTCTCTTCCCACACATTCTGTCATTCCTAAATAATGCCTCCTAATATATTTACACGTAGCGTTCAACATGTATCACAGCCATGAGAGTGTTCGTTGTATAGGCCATGAAAATGGACTGTTAAATAGGGTACGATTTTATAGGTCCTGATTGAGAATTGCCGTGGCATTGCTTCTCATTGTACATGTGACTAGTTAAAGTAGAAATTGTTAAGAGTCACAGTCAACAGAAGACCAGACAAGGAATGGAAATAGAGGAATTTATGACACAGAGATACTAATAAATGTCCACTCACACCTTGTGCAGCTACATGGATGCATCAGAGTTCTTAAAGGAGGGAGTTGCAGAGAATGGGGCATGTGAATGTATTAGGCTACCTAACTGGAGTGCTTCAACTTTTCTGAACTGAGATTATATTATTCAAGGTAAACCTAAAACAGTAGGACTATTGTCCACTCTGTGGAGGTCCAGGGCCAATCAAGGGGAGGGCCTGTGAGAGACTACCACTGCCAATACCTGCAAATGAGCTCATGTGAAGCAATTATATTTACTTGTGATTCTTCCTGGTGTGATAGAGGCAATGTAGCAAGATCCTCTATGAGGGTACCATGGAGTGTTGGATGAAAGTTCTTGAAAATACTCCTACATAATTATCAATACACACATTACAACGTCTGTGTTACTAAATGGACAAAAAAAGTGTAGTTGTTGCAAAATACAATTAAAAGTATTTGAGATTTAAGGCTTGTGTGAATGGAGCCTTACACTGTGTTCACAACTAGTTTATTGTTCCTATAGTTCACCGAATCCTTGAACAAGGAAGAATTGGTTAATGTTGATGAAGGATAACATGTAATCAGGGTGTCCCTGGTGGGCCTAGGAGTTAAATCTCACCCTTATTACTGCTAAGGTCTGAGTTTGATCCAGGCCAGGGAGCTGACCCACATGGCACAACAGACCTCTCTTTTCATGCCCGCTGCTCCCATCAGCAGTGTATTTCATTTAATCTGCCTGTTCTGCTCCTAATTCTGTCGCTGATGAATCCTCTCACCGACTACAGCACTGGCCTACATTGTTGCTCTTTTATGCAAAGAAAATTACAAAAAAATGTTATCAAATATACCTGAGGACATACACATAAAAATCCATCGGGTTTATGGGCCTCCCTGGTGGCAGAGGGGTCAAAGTCTCAGTGCTATCAAGCTGACGCCAGAAACAGCAGCATGAGTTCGATCCCTGGCCAAGGAGCAGACCCACATGGTGCAGCAGAACTCTCCTGTCTGTCCCGCTGCTTCCCTTCACAGTGCATTTTAGTAGATCTGCCTCTTCTCCCTGCTCTGTCTCTGGTGAATCCTCTCACTAGCAACCCAACCCAACCTCGGCCTCGACCTCTGACTTGTATGCATACATAAATAAATCTTTTTTAAAAAATCAGCTTTATTAAAACATATTTAGTTCAGATACCAGTGTATGCTCTTTGGTCAAAATCAAGTTGTGGGCATTTAAGAAGCATTCTTGTTCTTTTGATTCCTGAATCTCATTGTTGGTGGTCAACATAAAGGCTCAATACTTAGCTAATGTGCACACACACAATTCTATGCTCTGTTTTTGGAAAGTCACCTGTTCTTTCACCATGTGCCTCTGAAGATTTCTTTTGACCACAACATCAAATAATAGTCATGATCTCTATTACTGCCATGAAGATATATAAGGATTTTAATCAGCTGTCAGTGTATTTCCATAAGGAGAAATTGATGAAATGATTTGAACTCCAGCATGTTTCTATGTCTGACTTTTATGCCAACGATGAAGCCCATAACTCTTCTTGGTGATTTAAATCAATGTTTTGAGTCAACCAGAAACAGCATCTCCATTTAGATTTTCTTGATACATGGCACATTACTGTCCTAAATTTACCTGCAAGTTAGATATGAAAAAATCCATCTACTAGGACAGTCTCTCAGATGTTTGAGGCAACAAAAAAGCAAACACATGACTTCACATAGACAAGAGAAAGCCAGAGAATGAAGTGAATTAGAGCTGAGTTACATTCATCACCTCTTCATAATATCGCAAGTGTGACTGATAAAAAGTACACAGAAAATAATTATACCTCAACCATCGTATTGAACATTTTCTACACTCTCGACATTCATAGGGTTTGGCTCCAGTATGACTTTCTGATGTACAATGAGGTGTGATTTCCTGTACAATGTTTTCTTACACTTTAGACATTCATAGCACTTCTCATGTTCGGTGAGGGTTGATTTCCAGGAGAAAGTTTTCCTACACTCTTGACTATAATAGTTTCTTTCCAGGTGTGACTTTTCTGATGTACAAAGAGGAGTGATTTCCTGTAGAACGTTTTCTTACACTTTGGAATTTCAGAGGGTTTTTCTGGTGCATGAGTTGTCTGAAGACACTCAGGTCTCACTTGTGACAGAATGATTTCTTACATCCTTTACATTTATAAGGCTTCACTCCTGTGTGAGGTTTTTTTTTTTAAAGATTTATTTATTTATACAAGAACTGGGGTACATCCCAGAAGGCCGGGAGGGTGAAAGGATTCACCAGAGAGAGAGCGGGGAGCAGAACAGGCAGATGGACTGGAAACACTGCTGAAGGGAGTAGCAGGAGAGACAGGAGAGGTCTGCCATGCCATGTAGTAATCTCCCCGGGCGGCTGAGAATCGAACTTGCACTGCAGAGGCTGCGGACAGCTTCACCGCGCTGTGCGCAACCAGCTGCGCCACCTGGGAGGCCCTGGAATAATTTTTAAATAATTTTCAATGTTTTGCTTTCCACACTGAATTTTTACTAAAAATAATAATTCAACTAACATTATGGGCTAAAAGTAAAGTCCAAGACTTTGCTAAAAAAAAAAAGAAACCAAGAAAGATTTAGATGGGTTTGGAGATGGAAGAGGGGTTAGAAGACTATGGGGTACCTTTTTTCTATTTCCTTTAAGAATGCCATTGTTAGTGTTTCTTTCTAGGCATGGGTAGTGGAAAATCATATGATTAATATTTACAGATCAATTTTCCTTTAGATAAGACTAGAGAGCTCTTAGTTTATAAAAATGCAAAGTAATTTTTAGTTACATTGGACACACCTAAGAGTATACAGAAAGTATTCTGGAAAAACAAAATATGAAAATAAGATGTCAAACAAACACATCTATATTGTATATGCTGAACTTTTAAGAGAAAAAAGATTCACTTGAGGACACATGAGTGAATACATAGCACACAGCAAAGACGAAAGGATGCTGAAAGTCAACATTAGGAAATTCTTTCATATGATTGAGAGGAATGAGAACATTAAAAATTAGGTAGCACAATGTTTATGTCAGATACCTTTAATTAAAATTCAAAATTTTAGGGCCTCCCCGGTGGTGCAGCGGTTGAGCACTGGGTTGCGAAGCTGCCCGCAGCCTCTGCAGCGCCGGTTCGATCCCCGGCCACCAGGCGAGGGTCCCACATGGCGTGCAGACCTCTCCTGCCGCCCGCTGCTCCCCTCAGCAGTGTACTTTGTCAGTCTGCCTGCTCTGCTCTCCCCTCTGGCTCTGGTGAATTCTCTCACCCTCCCATGCTTCTGACCGTACCCAGTGCTTGTATAAATAAATAAATAAATCTTTAAAAAAAAAAAAAAATTCAAAATTTTAAAGTAGACATGGGCTTTTCAAGTGATTATAGGAGTAATCTGCAATAAAACTGTGACTATTTATAGAACAATAATGGATATACAGATGCATGTAAAATGTTTGAAACTCATAGAACTAAAATATAATATGCTGTTAGATATCCATAAACCAACTCCTTTATATATTCAAAAGATCAATAACAAATCAGTACAGAAAAAATCTGAAAAAATATAATAACTTTTATATTCTTATTAACTTCTTTCGCCCTGAAAAGACAACACATTTTTTTTGTCTGCTTTGGGATGTTTGCAAAAATTCTCTCCCAAGAATGTCTGCTCCAAGTTTTAT